TTTGCAATTATGAATACTTAGAGTTCCAATATAAATGGGAAATTCTCCTGCTCTATAAGATGTATACTAAAAAGGGAAGTATAGTGAGTCTTCTAAGGAATATCAAAGGCAATGTCATTTATACTTGATGAACCTTGATAAGAAGCTACTCATGGTGAAGATGGTTCAAACCTTAATTCCAAAGTCTCTTGAAGTACAAGTGTTATCTCCACTTGAATTCAATGCCCACTACATAAGCTAGCTAGTCATAATGAATACATGCACAAGATCCTATGACCTTAAAGTGTTATGCAAGATGATGCACAAAGAGGCGGGATGTTAGGGCTTAAAATTGGGGTGTGACAAACATCTCTGTCTGTTTTTTCCAGCAGCTTTGTAATTTTTGCTTATCTTCCTTATTGTTTACAAATAGATATGGTGCACCCCGATAACATCTCAAAAGAATTAGTTCCTTTAAACGATTTGTCTCTGAATTCTCAAGGGGTTGTCATAAAATTAGTAGACTTTAATAACAAGCAAGAGTTTGATGATCGTGAAAGAATGCTCACATGGATTCGTAGGACTGCAACAAGACTTAGCTTTGGTGTGGTTATAGAAAGATCGAATAATGATTCAGAAAATAAGAAACACTTTTGTTACTTTGTTGTTCTAAAGAAGCGGTAAATATCAAATTCCTCTCTGAAAATTTAAGAGAGAATACACGGGTAGTAGAAAATGTGAGTGTCCATTTAAGCTTTGTGGTTACATGTTGAGTGGGAAAAAATGGAAATTTAGTGTTATTTATGGTTTGCATAACCATGATTTATGCTCAAAGTTACAAGGTCATCCTAGTGTATGTCGGCTCAAGCCGAAAGAGAATACATGTATTAGTGACATGACCTTAAATCTTGTCCAGCCGAAAAATATACTTGTCACATTGAAACGGAAAGAACTCGACAATATATCAAATATAAGGCACGTGTATAACATTCGGTACCGTACCAACAAGGCGATTAGGGGAGATAGAAGTGAGATGAAAAAAATGTTGAAATTGTTGGATAATGACAATTACGTGTCCCGACACAGAACTTGCAACGATGAAGTTATGGCCTGAGATATTTTTTGGACTCATCTGGATTCGATAAAGTTGTTCAACATGTTTTCGAAAATGTTCATTCTTGATTCTACCTACAAGACCAACAAGTATAGACCTCCTTTATTTGAGATGGTTGGTGTTACGTCTACCGAGAGGACATATGCCGCTGGTTTTGCTTTTCTCAAGTGTGAAAAAAAGGACAATTTTACATGGACATTAGAGGTTTGTCGGTCACTTTTGAAGGACCAAGTTGAGATGCCTAAAGTGATTGTTACCGACCGTGATACTGCTTTGATGAATGCGGTTGCAAATATATTTTCTTCTTCTAATGCTTTAATTTGTTGATATCACATAACAAAGAATGTGAGAAGTCAGGTTAAACCCGCGGTGGGGGCGAAACAAGTAGAGTCCGAAGGTGGAAAATTGGTGAAGGCCGACGTGATTGTTGAAAATAATAATGGATGCATGGAATTGTATACTAAATTCTTCCACAAAAGAATTATATGCCACCGTCATTCAATTCTGAAAAGTGTGTGAAAACTATCCTGCTTTGTTAAAATATGTTGAAAGCACCATTCTGGATCAGGTGAAGGAGAAGATAGTTTGTGCATGGACTGATAATGTCTGGAAGCTTAGAAATACAACCACCAACAGAGTTGAGTCGGCCCATGCTAGTTTGAAAATTTGGTTGGGAAATATCAAGGGGGATTTATGTCGAGATTGGGACTCTGTAAATCTCATGATTAAAAATCAACATAATGAGATACAAACAACATTCGGTTGGAGTATAACGGTATTGGAACATCAATTTAAAGATAACATTCTTTATTCTCAATTAATCGGTAATATGTCTCGGTCGGGGTTGAACTATCTTTTTCACGAGGCCAAACGAGCTGAAACTATAGGTTCCAATACTGCAAAGTGTGGTTGCACTATTGTGAAAACCTATGGTCTTTCGTGTGCTTGTGCTATTGCTAAAAATTTGAAACTAGGTGAGTCAATAAGAATGGACGAAGTTTGCCCTCATTTGGAAAATACTTAGTTTTGATGATGATGGTTGCATGGAAGGAGGGAAACCGAATATCTCTATTTTTTCATAATGGGAAGCGATACAAGAGAGATTCTCAAAGGCCGATGACAACATGAAACTCCATATCAAAGAACAATTGAGGAAGATTACTTATCCCGAGACAACCGACATGAAACCTCTTTCTCAACCGGTAAAGACAAAAGGTGCTTCAAAAAAAATGAAGCCTACACCGAATGATAACTCGACAACACTGTCTCTTTCTTATTATGAGCATGTTGACAAACTTTATTCCGACTCACCGGTTCCTAAATCTAAAAAGAGTATCATGAAAGGAGTCTGCATAAGCAAACTGCCTCCGACCCCGATTTCGCCGAAAATTCCATTCATCGACAAGATGTTGGTTTTTTATGCACAAATGCATCGACCGTATCGCCAATGTTGAAAGGGATGGTAATTGCGGTTACTGAGTCGTTTTGACTTTGCTTGGTGAAGGAGAGGATATTCTTGCGTTTGTTCGTCATAAACTAATCCAAGAGTTGAAGACGCATAAAGAATCGTATACACGGTTGTATGGAAAGAAATAAAAATTTGATATGATTTATGAATCTCTTGTTCCTTGCTTGAGTGGTCTGGTACCAGTGTCGAAATGAACCTTCTCTGATATGATTCATCTTATTGCATGTGCATATGATAGGGTATGCATTGACTTGACGTGATACGGGTTTTCGAAAACCTTTTTTCCACTCCACACTGCATCACCTCAAAATTCAAATGATTGCATCATGTGTATTGGATGGCTTGCAAAATCAAGACATTTTGTATAAGTTTACTTGAAACTGGTATGCCCCATACCACCTACATCACCGGAATAGGCGACTCATTCAACTACAAATGTCGAGAGGTGGTCAGATCATTTTGTTGAAAGGATGCACAAATTCAAAAAATTGAACAACATTGAAAAAGAATCGAATGCGGAAAAGTCCAAAGGGGTACCACCAATAGATTTAGTTGACGACACTTTTTTGATTCGTTTTGAATTCTTGTATAATCGAACGACTAATTGTAAATTTTTGAAATGCAAAATAGTCACATTTTATTCTCATGCCTTATTTTTGCACATATGTCTTTTATTTGTCTATTATGATGTCTTTCTATATTGAGTACTACTTTAAAATGTAACAGAGAAACTTCCGGATATATATATCTACGAAAGATTCTTAATTATGCACTTTCAGTGGAAGTTCCAGAGATACATAACCGGAACCAATAATCATATGATTGTTCCGCAGATATAGCTCCGGAAACAAGTTTGACAGGAAATGGTTGGTCCATATTCACCTAAGTTTTCTTTAAATTTGGGATTTCATTTTTTATCTTTCACACAAATGCAAAAATGTCTCAATTGTTTGAAATCAAGATCTGTTGGTATGTCGCAAGTGTCTCCTTTTACGACGGTAAAACACACGGGAGGACGTTCAAGGTCATGGATCTCACCCCCTCGTCGATATCATAGACGAGATCCAATATCATCTACCTTACATTGACAAACAAAAGGTTGTGAAGCTTGAATATCATTCATCTTCAATTGACAACGAAGAGAACGTTGTTTACAACAAGTTTGAACTCAAGAATCAAGACGACATTAAAGCGATGTGGTGAACGTATTTCGGTTTCAAAGAGAAGATTTCGCTCGAGTTGGAGGCGACGGTCCGAAGAACGGTCGATAACATCTTAAAGATGTGTAGATGTCCACCAGACTATTGAAATGTAATATTTAAATTTCTACCAAAATTATCAATGTAACGCCAATTTTATTTTATGAATGTTGATTTTATTGTTGCAATGTTGATTTTATAGTATTTTGTTTCTAGATTTTTTTTCGTAAATATTAATAAGGAAGTCTTCCGTAAATGCATATACGGAATACAATAAAAAAAACTGAAAAAAATACGTTCGAAAATATATCTTTTAAAGAGAGTATTCCCAAAGAATGGGATTAGAAATTCTCAAATTTCGCATTGGCTTGGCCCCAATATCATTCTCAGAAAGACCACCACCCATCTCAAAAAGACCACCGTTATTAACCTTTAAATCCAAAAATAGTCACCATATCTTTCAAGGGCTCGATTTAAAGATCAAGATTTCCAAAACATACATTTATTTCAAACTTTCATAAAGAGATTTAAACTTCTCTTAGATAATAAAAACATTCCAACCAAAATCCAAACAGACCATTTTAAAGGAACCAAATATCTAATTAAATATTTCTTTCCTATTTTTTGTTTTTTAGTTTATGCTCGCAATGTGAGTCTAATTTTTCATAGAAAATTCATTATTTTTTACTTAAGATTATAGTAAAGTTTGATTTTAATTTATGAGAGCTCAAAATCAACTACCATTCTAAGGTTTTCTTCATTCTTTTTTCATTCTCGAAGATGGCATAGGTCAACATCTTTTAATTGTACACGCCTATGCAATAAGTGGAACAACACTATTTTATTTTATCTCACTCATGCAACTAGTATTAGGGCTGGACATCGGTCAGTTTGGATTGGATTCGGGCCCAATATGTCAAACCGGCCAAAACTATGGGTAGATTTGGTAGGCCCAATTCCGACCGAAGTTTTAATCGATTTGATCGGATCGGTTTAATCGGTTGATCGGTTAAAATGGATCGGTTTGTTTGGTTAACCATAAGTAAGTTGACACATAATTATAAAAGTTTTAACTAACAGTAAAAAAAACCATAAGTGGTATTAAATTGGTATACCAATAGAAGTTTTAAATTGGTATCTATTACAAATAGTATTTCAATGCAATTTGTATCTATTTCAATGCAATTTGTATCTATTTCAATGCAATTTGCCAGAAGAACCACAAAAATAATAACGCATTTCATTGTGCGTCTGAGTCTGACTTTTTGGTTAACGCGGCTACCTCCCTCTCCTGCTGTTTCTTCAGATGTCTAGGCAAGTCATACTTTTCGGCAGCTGCTAATAACTTTGCTGCAAATGTTTCAGATATTGAAGGCAAAAACGATGAACCTGACATGAAGAACTCTTCATCTTCTATAAGAGCGTCTTTGTAAATAAAATGATGCAAAGCCTGCTCAACAATAGGATTCAAGAAACATTAGATAACCAAGCAAATAATATGTAACACTTGATTAGTTAGAACATGCATTATGGACCTAACCTGCTCAACAATAGGATTCAATGAAAAAACTAACAATGGTGAGAAGGAAGCGGGAAAACTTACTTCATGAGGATCATTGATCCGTTGCAATGAAGAGTCACCAATAATATAAGCAACTGGAATTACATATGCAAACGAGCCTCCAACTACTGCACGTAATCTTGTTCCAAAAAGTGCTTGTAGAAGTGTGTTAATGCCAGCTACAAAAAGAAGGGTCTGTATAACCCTTGCCTTATCACCCTAGTATATAACAAGAAACCAAACAACAGTCAAAAGCAATAATAGCGCATATCATAAGTATAAACAATGGACGAAAGTAACAACAGAAGGAAGCTGAAATTCAACTTACAGAACTTCCTCTCATAGCCGGAACGAGCAGTGAAGGTATCATGACACTCGTGCCAAGCATCAAAATGTAATTTTGAAATGCTAAAAGGATAGTTTCAGCTGCAAAAAAAAGATACATTCACAGTGAGGGGGAGAAAAATGCAATAGATAATGTAACGACAAAATATCGATAAGGTTATACAAAAAATATACACATGCACACTATCTAAATACTCAATGCTCTATACTGAATTCTTTAAACATAACCAATATAGGTTCACGTAATAATTAATCCAGATTATACAGAAATAGCATACATACGGACAACAAACTGCGCGCTGCTATACCCAAAAAGTGAAGCCAAAACGTGAAGGTGCCTAGTTTTTAGTGTAACAAGAGTTAGAAACAAGGGTGGGACAAGTAAGATGGACCCAATATCTGTTATTATAGTGAAAATAAAAAGATAGCAGATAGCAGAGAGGGTCCTCCTGTGAGAGAAGAAATATAGTATCCTTCAGTTCCTATACAACATTTAATAAAAATAGCAGATAGCAGAGAGGGTTCTCCTACTGTACTAATAATTACCACTTGCCTATACATCATTTAATAAAAATCTTCAAATATAGTATCCTTCAGTTCCTACTAGTTTCTCCTAGTTCCAACTATTATCTTCAGTTTCACAACTTTCTACCACAGTATGCAATAACCGCAGAAAAATAGTACTACTATAATACAAACATAATGTTTTAAAGAGTAAATTATAAATTATTGTTCTTAAAATATCCATTGTGAAGTGAAATAACATTATCATTATGGATTGAATTATCTTTTTCAACTTTGGGTACATGATCATGCACTATGGACCTAACCTGACCATAAGCAAGCACAGTAGCATTGTATCCTTGAAATAAGCCATCAACCAATGGAGCAACGCATTCCGCAAACATTTCAGATGAAGGAGATCCACCATTTCCATAAACATGATCAAATGTAAAGGAATGAGACCCTATTTGAACCTGATCAATGTAATGCTATGATCAGATTCTCAGGAACTGATACCATAATGCAAATTATAACTTATAAAGGTCACTCTAACTGTTCCATATATATCAGAGATATGTACAGAAATGCAATTACCAAAATCAATAACTCGGACTGAATCTTAGCGGCAGTGTTATTCCATTAAATACAAACCGTAGTGTCAGAATCAAAACAAACAGCAGCAAATGCAAGTACGAATTCCAACAGAATGACGTAAATATGAAACTCACCCTTTCGAACAAAGATTGAAATAGATAATTTGGCCATAATTTAAGGAAGCAATAAAGATTGAAATAGACCAATTCCCAATAATAATGTGTAACTAATGTAACTATAGCAGAAACATTGCTGTGATGCTACAACTTAAATTGTGATAGAGAATGTGTAACTAATGTAACAATAATGACCACAATTCCCAATAATACCCTTTGCAACATTAATTAAAAGGTTAATTCTATGACAGGTCCATCAGTCCTCGTCTAAGAATCACGACTCAACATTAGTTCAGAACCTGTCCTGATGTCTTTTATCAATAATAACTAGAAGCTAGCTATGAAATACACTATACACCCAAACAGAAACACCTATCCAAAGTTTGAAGAATAGGTCCTCAAAGAGTCCAGGTTTACAGGTTTTTCATTTGTCTACATCAGAATCCAGCTTACTACTGGAGCTAAGTATCACACTGTTTAAAATAGCTATTGTATCACATCTAAAAGAGCAGCAACACGCTGCATGACGTTGAAGCCAAAATTGATGAGATAGAAATTACCTGAAACCTTACCTGCATCATTCACATGTCAAAACGGCCAACGAACACTGTCACTGATGCAAAAGGCCAACGAACACCGTCATTAAGATAAATCAAGCAGAAGGTAATAGAATTATCCAACAGTAATGTTACTGATGCAAAAAGTATCAAGTATAACACTGACCCTTAGGTTTTTAAGATCAATATCAAAAAGACCCTTGAGACCAGGCCTTTGAACCTTGATAACAACCTCCTGTCCCCTTAATTTCGCACGATGAACCTGACCTGCATTGGGAAAAGATAACTCATTTTTCCTTTCTTCCAAGCAAACATTACACCTAAAAACATAGGTACATCTAACCATATTTCCTGCTTTGATTGTACAATTTCTAACACAAATAAATGAAAAATACAACATTGATTACCAAGACTTGCAGCAGCTATTGGCTCATAATCAAATTGATCAAATATGCCAGCTATAGGAGCTCCAAGCTCTTCCTCGACAATAGCCATAGCAGTCTCCGAGGGAAATGGAGGAACTTGATCCTAAACCCAAACAATAGGTAATTAAAACTTAAGGAAATACAACCTTAATATGGTTTTCACTTCTTGATTAAACATTCTCTAACACATTAACTTTCTCTAACACAAGATGATGATCATTAACTTCCTAAATTCAGTGATACATTCTCTAACACATTAACTTTATCAAATGACACCAAATGCTTCCGAATTAAATATGCAACATTTACAACTCAAGAATACAAGGATAACAAAGCCCCACCAAACCTTCCAGAAGGAATATTTGCTTCCTATCTAATTAATTCCAACATAATAATGTATAAATCAAATCGAAATGATATGAAATGTCACACAGTTTATAGAAAATATAGGGATTTAATAACAAAAATAGTTTAAAAATTCATATGAAAAGCCTCAGGAATAAATATCCTCTTAGGGATCATGACTATCTGTAATGAAGTAAGACAAAACGACTAATAAAATGTCAATAATAGAATGCCAAACAACAAATAATAAAATAAATAAAAATCCAAAATCTAGAGAAATTTCCCAATTTTCCTATGAAACCATAAATAATATTGATAAAAAATTGAAAACATCAGAAGCAAGTGTATATAGTATGTCAATTCCAGGAAATTGTCTTATAAATACTGTACAGAGCTCCAAATTAACCTGAAGTTCTGACAACTGGTCTACATATTCTTGAGGAAGAATGTCCACTCTTGTGGAGAATTGCTGGCCAATTTTGATAAATGTAGGACCTAATCGGAGAATGCTTTCCTTCAGCCATTTGGACCGGTTCTCCACTTTTCTGTCCAGCCCTAACTAGTATATAACAAAAGGATTTGGATCCAAATACATTCATAGTAAATAATCAATCACATCACATGATTAGCCTTTTTGTTGCTATGAGTTGACAGCTGTGTGGGATCATAAAAGCATCGTGTTCACAGCTTGGCTAACACTGACCTGGCCCCTTTGTTTGCCTTTATTCATTCATCAATTTTTCTCTGCTTAGTGCTTACATTTACTTTTTTGTGCTTGTGAATAGTGTAAAAATGAACAATTGCTACTTAATATTAGCACGTTGATAAATGAACTTCAATAATAATCATATAAGAGATTAAGTGCTACATAAAGTGGCAAAACAGCTTCTCTTATCTTATGTGACTTAATTTAAGAATCAAAGGAACCAAAAAGAAAATAGAATTTTATATAAATAAGTTACATAACATCAAACAATACCTTAGGGAAGGGATATGGTCCTAATCTAATCCTAACAGAAGGAAAAATAATGATTGGAGCTTCATTTCTTGTGTAAGAATCTTCCACTTGGACAAGAATGAGCCAAACCAAGTTTCGATAGAACTTTCAAAAAGGCGCAAATGGGAAGGGTAGACAAGGCCAAGGCAAGTTATTGTACGCCGCTCAACTTGGCCCAATCTATGAACTGCATACCACCATAGATGTTGTTGCCGAATCGCACACCAACGGTGAACGCCATTGCAACAAGTGGAACCTTCTTTGCCACTGAAGATTTTTCGACGATGCTTTCCAGTCCGTTGATAATTTGATAACGGGTGTTGGATGACACAGCGAGGAAGAAACCTGATATAGAGCAGGAAAATCAATTAAGCAAATTACATATAATTGCAACGAAATCTTGTATGACAGTGCAAGACATTGGCATACCCCAAAGAGCCGCACTTTGCAGAAGAGGAGGGATCGGTATGTCATCTTCAGATTTACTAATGCTCCTGTTTTTATTTAATACGAAAACGAAGAGTTGCATTGTAATTTTGTATCACAAAAAGAAAATCAAGAAACAATGATAAAACAATGCAGCCAACCAAAGCAATAGTAGTCGAAAGACATATTCGTAATAAAATCATACCTTTTGGCATTCATGATCATATTAGCAATTCCTTGACCAACAATACCACATCCAAAGCCAACAGATCCGTACAACGCACCCTAAACATACGGTGTAAGGTATTCACAGGAATGTCAATAAAAGAAGTCGACAAAGATTGCATCATAGCAAGCACCGAAGTAAAGGAAAACATTCTATCAAGATTCAATCAAAGTTTGATTCTATTATTGTTGGATTTTTTGATGACCTATATTCCGTCACACTGTTAAATACTTATTCATCACTTTAAGTTTAAGAACATATGGTACCTTGTAAAAGTACGTGGCAACGCGCTGCATCGCAGAGAATTTGCATCCTGGTCTTTCAGCTTCAAAAACACTGCATTCAAGATAAAATTTAGAATTACATGGATGATTTCCGGTCGACTAAAAACTTTGCCAGGCACAAATGATACACATAAATGCAGACACGAACCTGCTTGGAAGCGCAGCACAAGCATGCTGAATGCGTCCGAGTAAACCTTTCGACAAAGCAGGCTTGCCAATTCGTGCATAAGGTGCCAACATACCCACCAAAGCAATGTCAACAACCACACCAACAAGAAGATCAGCAGCATACAACTCAAACTCAGCCCAGAAATCCTTGCCTCTTTTCTGAACCTCCGCAAATGTCGCACAACAAGAGTCTATAACAATCTGCACATGACAAATCAACGAAAATCAATAGCCATTAGCATATCAACCAAAACTCTACTGTGACACCAATGACAAAAAAACCAACCAACCTCAGTTCCAACTTTAAAGAGAAAAGAAGGGTCTGCTAACATTCGATTTCTCAACATAGAACAATGCTTCATCAGAAAAGAGAGTGGCCCAGAAGAACCCTACACACACAAACAAACAAAAAACGAAATTAAATAAAAATAATAAAAAATTGAACTTTGAAAGAAAACAAAAAAATTGAAACAATGAGAAAAACCTACTTGTAATTCCAAGTAACGAAGAAGAAACATTTCACGAATGCCAGTGATCCTCGCCGCTTCTTCCATATCAGAAGGTAACGTAGCACCACGAGCTTCAACTTCTTTCATAACAGCTTCGAAATTCAACAAAGGTCCAAACTCTTCATCTCCTTCACTTTCTCCGCCGCCATCTCCATCATCTCCACCTCTACCTCCGCCGAAATTGTCGCCGTCATCACCTCCGCCGCCGATATCAGGTTGATCGGATATGACAGGCTCCAACGGAGAGATAGATTCCGATTTGATGCAGCGGATTCTGACAACATGTGTTTTGTTGAAGGAACTATTGTTGAGAGTGATGGAAGAAAAATTGTTGAGAGATGGAACAGTGTTGTTGGATTGTGGTGTGTTTGTGTTCCATGTTGTTGTTGTGGTGTTGGAGATGGCGAAATTGAGTGAAGAGAGTGCCATGTTGTTTGTTGTTGTTGTGCCGCAGGTAACAGTGGTTGTTGTTGTGCCGCAGGTAACAGTGGTTGTTGTTGTGCCGCAGGTAACAGTGGTTGTTGTTTTGTGAGAGAAGAGTGAAGTGGTTTTGGAGCGTGAATTAAGGAAAGAAACAAAGGAAAGAAACACGTTTTGAAAAAAAAAAGAGAAAACAAAATATTAAAAAAAAAGAGAAAACAAAATATTAAAACGTTTTGAAAAAAAAAAGAGAAAACAAAATATTAAAACGTTATGAAAAAAAAAGAGAAAACAAAATACTAAAAAACAAGAAAACAAAATATTAAAAAAAAGAGAAAACAAAATATTAAAACGTTTTGAAAAAAAAAAGAGAAAACAAAATATTAAAACGTTTTGAAAAAAAAAAGAGAAAACAAAATACTAAAAAACAAGAAAACAAAATATTAAAAAAAAGAGAAAACAAAATATTAAAACGTTTTGAAAAAAAAAGAGAAAACAAAATACTAAAAAACAAGAAAACAAAATATTCGTCGCCTGAGAGATTCGAACTCTCGCGGGGAAACCCCATGTACTTAGCAGGCACACGCCTTAACCACTCGGCCAAAGCGACTTGTTGTAAATATGTTTAAATAATAAACATATATTATATAACTACTTAGTATTATTTATAATATACAAACTTTTTTTAATACCTTTTAAGTTATAAACTAATATCAATGCAGAAATACTTTAAAGTGAAAAATACAAATTGATAGTATATTAGATTTCTAAACACCAATTATTGTAGAACAATGCATAGATTAAGGAGTATAAGTACGAATGTTTTCAACTAACCCAAAGTTTAACTAATACAAATCAATACACATGATATCACCAAATTGCCGACCCTAAAAGGGCCAAAGGAAAAGGCCAATTGCCGACAAGTAAACTATACTTGCTTGCTTTGTCATTTACAAAAAGAAAATTTAACTACAACTATACAGATAATGAAACATCTTTCATTCATATAAACTATATATTAAATTTAAAAAAATGCTATTATCACAACTAATAAAGTTCGTTGTCAATTACATTAATTTGGAAGTTCTAAACTTTACATCTCCAATATTCTTTCTTTCATGTGACACCAATGACCTTCATAACTTTGGTTTAAAATATCAATTTTCACTGCCGATATCTGAATATCTATAAAAAAAATGTACAAAGTTAAAACCAACTTTACCCGGGGGAAAGAAATGGAAAATGTTCATATATGTGAATTGCTTTAAGGAAAAAGCATGATGGAACAAAACATTTTCCTTCCCTTTCCCACGTACAAAAAAATTGAAGCCACACAACACTTTCATGTGTATATACATATGTATGTAATAAAGAGGGATTATGGTTTCTTGTTTCTCAAGAAAAACTTTCGGTGTGTCTAGATTTATGAGAACGGCGTGCCCACTCGATGGATGCTCTTGGTGTGCATAACGAACGATCAAGGGACTCTGGTTGAACATCTGAGAATCTAGGAACAAGTTTGCATCCGAATTTCCTTGTGAATAACCGAGGAGAATCGCGTGCACTGTGAGATTTTGTTACGGTTTTCATTTCCTGTTTTATTTTAGTGAATTCCTCTACGAGTTCTCCAACTCTAGTACTCATTCTATCCATATCCTTTTTCAAAACCTGATTTTCGCGCACAACAGCAACCCATCCGTCTCTCTGTACAATTTCGCTGGCGGTATCACCTCGAGCGGTGACATGAGCTGCTGGAGCTGGAGCGCTATCACCGCCTAAAGCATTGACACATCCGGCTAATGATGTTCTCAAATGTTGCTGTTCGAAGAATAACACTTGAAGAACAACTCTTAGGGGTAACCTTTCATTTTGGGATGCATGAGCACAAGCATGGATTGAGAGTTTTTGATAGTCAATGATGTTAGATAGTTCTTCCTTCTCATTATCAGAGAGCCAAGGATGAGCCTGAAAAGTATCATAAGCAGTAATCATTAATTCCGCTACCGATTCTTCTTAATATATGCAAAAATTGGAAAATGTGCTTATAAAAAGGGACAAAGGTAGTAAGCAACTGAATGAAAATGGAGCTCAAGAAAATGAGACCTTGAAATATATGTCTAGTGCCCTGTAGATTCCGTCATGTAATGATCTTGACGACTCAGGCAGGGCCTGTGCAAGCGAGCGTAACTTTCCTGGTTTTAAATTGACATCAGATGCAATTTCGGCAATATAGCTATCAATCAGCTTCGCAACTTTCCTTAATGATTCAGATGACGACGATGCTTGTGGATCGAGTGATGAAGGAGAAAAGGCGGATAAATTTGATTCCGTAAGAACAAAATGATGGACTATATGTTCGATACAGTCTGTGTTATATAAAGCATCGGAATCTGCATAAGCTGGGATGAGAAGACTATCTAATGTTGCCAGTTCCAATTGCATCCCTATTCTCCTCTCTAAAGACTCCTTGCAAGTTTCACTGACATTCAATATCGAAGCTACACGAAGAAGTCCGAGTAGGAAACGGCAAAACGATTTTCCCTTCTTTTGAGGAAGAAGTTTCTCGATGCTTTCCAAAAGATCCTTTTGATCAATAGCAGCACTAGCAGGCGTCAAGCTAAAGCTCGCAACTGTTCTTGTTTTTCCGCCTTGTCTACCCTGCCACCGACCTAGACCTGGCAAGTGCTTCCTAGAATAATACATTATGGCTCCTGCTAGGCTTTCAGGTCTCATACCTCTCGCTCGCATCGTCTTAATAAGTCTCTCAAACAAACTGACGCTGAGATACGAGATATCTTCAAACCACCACTCAGATTCCGAGGTTCGAATTCTAGCACCAGTATTTATACCGTTCCAAAGAATGCTTCCGCCAGGGCTCTGAAAACTCCCATACATCATCATCGGCCATCCAAATAAACTCGGGTCCGTGCAAGCCATCATCGATAGCGCGTTTAAACACTTATCCACTAAATGAAGATTTTCAACTCTCGATAGAATAGGCTCAGAACTCTGGAGGGCCAAAATACAATCTTTCCAGTTGCGCAATATATTCTTGTGAAAAAAACTCTCCGATTTCGTCAACAAGTTCGATTCTTCGTATTCCTCCGTCATTTCAAGATACTCCGCGGCACAGTGGACCAATACCACATTTTTTGCCGTCAACTCCACACGAAACCCATAACAGAATTTAGCCACAATCAAGAAAATCTCAGAACCCCCAGGAAATTCTTCCAACACCATTGTCAGATTCTTCTCATTCGAATTCTTGAAATCGTCATATTTCCGCGCGATTTTTCCACATTTTGAAACAAGAGGAAACTGCAGTTTCACAGCATATCTTATTGAAACAAACTCCACATTATTACAAGTAATTCTTCAAATAAAAGGCATAACAGTAGAACTATAGTGATTTTTTCATATAAAAGGCATAACAGTTCAATTTTAGCTTCATCCTTAACTAAACAATTAAGAAGCAGTAGCAATTAAAAAAGTAGCAATAAATAAAATAAATTGTAAAAACAAAACAACAAAAACCACCGAAGAAAAACAAAGTCCCAACAACCAACTATTTCACAATGAAATCCTGAATTGGATTATGAGTGGAGAAAAAGTATCAATTGTGAAATGAAGATAAATACCTTATGAAGATGGAAATTGACACCGTCAATTGATAGGGTAATATCGCTGGGCAATCCAGCGTCACTATACCTTTTGTAAGAAATTCAACAAGTTCAAATTGATGATGACAAAAATGCAACTTGAAAGGGGATAGATAATATAAATTTATAAAAAAAAAAGAGAAAATACCAGTTATGATCTTGACGATGAAACCCAGAAAGTTTTGCAGGTGAAGGAGCCATGTTATTGTTAAGGAAAAGAATGACCCTCTCTTGTTTTTCTTTGAGTAGTTACTCTGTCATGGCTGCCTCCAAAATGATTATATATTTTAAAGAAGAATAAAGAAGAAAGAAGAAAGGAATAAGAAGAAGAGAAATAGTTATTTGTGGAGCGGAAAATGACAGAGTGTGTGTGATCACGACGGAAGAGACGGTCGTTGTAAAGTAAAGCATACTCTAATCAAAATAGGAGCCACAATGTATCTTAAACCAAATCACTTTTTACACCACCAACAATTCTATTTGGACCACTGAATCAGATTAATTCGAGTCAGTATCAAATTGTGATTTTTCCAATCAAATTCAGCGTCAATTATCACTTAATTATAAGACATGTGGTTAGTGATTTAATCCTAACTATAGGACACACACAAGTTACCATTAAATGGGGGCAGATAATAAAGAACATAGAGGAGCGTCACTCACAGCCAACTAACAACATTATTAATGACTCGTAGAAGTGACTATGACACATGATGTTGTGTAAATCATTCCTTGTCCCCCACACCATCTCTCTCTATTTCTCTCAAATACTAAACGTTGTTTGGTTATTCTTTTGGTTTCTGCGCAACAACTTTACCTCTTTAGACTCATGAATCACAACACGCGTGATTTTGATCTTGTTTAAAAAATATTGCTACCTTCCAACATGGGGCCATGATGCTCTTGTTTTGTGGTTACGGTCGTTAGGTGGGTAGTAGGACCCACTAAGGTTGTAGCATTTGATTTGTCCTTTGAGTTTGTTTATTTTTATTACTAGTGTTTGAGAAATTTTGAAGTTCTAGTTATGGCTCATTATGCGTATGCAAAAAGGAATTCATTTGTTTTCAACTCATTAATAAGATTTTTTTAAAACTAATTAAATGGGAGTTGAGATTAAATGAGGCATGTCGTGGACAGTAATTATTACGTGGGAACACACCAACAGTACTTGTCGTAATAGTTCAAATTTTCACTTAACTTAAAACGTTCTTATTTGTGTACAAGGAGTATTATATTAGGGAATTGCTTAAGGCATGTTATGGATTGCTACAATATTTTTGTAAAAAATAAAAAATATTAATTGATTTCGAAGATTAATTTTCAGATCCACCGTAAACACATTTGTTTTTGAATTAGATCTTAAAAATTAGATTTTAAAAAATAATGCAGATGTATTTCCATACGCACTACAAACACATTTGTTCTTCAATCATACCCTAAAATTGAGTTTAAAAAATTCCAAAGATGCATTTATGTGTATCTTACGAAGATGCATTTTCAGACGATGGTAAATCAAAAGGGCGTTAGACCATTTCTCCTTCCTTAATTTTAAAAATACTATCTCAAACTCTCAACCTCTCAACTCTCAGAATCTTTTAACTCGCATTCTCTCAAAATCATTCAACTCACTTCAAATTTTCTTTCATCGAGTCAAATTGATCAAAGAGCTCATTCAATATCATACTTAATTTACATTTGGTAAGTTTTTTTTTATTTTTCTAAACTTTTTTTAATATTTTATATGCATTTATAGAAATTGAGCATTGGATTATGTAATAAATAGTTTAGATATGTCAAAAAGTAAGTGATTACTTCTCAAAATTGACAGCTATTGTAAATCAGATGCAAACTTGTGGTAAGAATATTACAGATCAGATGGTAGTAGAAAATGTGTTGAGATCTTTAAGTCCAAAGTTTTATTTCATAATTGTAGTTATCCAAGACGCAAAGGAAGTGAAAACTATGAAGATTGAAGAGTTGCAAAATTCATTGGAAGCACGTGAGCTCTTGGTGCTCAATAAAAGTTCTGAAAGATCAATTCAACAAATATTCTAAGTTCAAACTTCCAAGAAGGAGGGAAATCAGAAGATTTTCAAGAAAAAAGGAAGGAGCAAAGAAAATTAGTTCAACAATGAAAAGAACAAGACTGAAGACAAAGTTGAACCTTCAAAGAAAGGAGGTTTTGGCAGAAGTCAAAACAAGAAGAGGGATTTTGACAAAAGTAAGGTACAATGTTATAATTGTGAAAAGTATGGACACTTTGTTGATGAATGTTGGTTTAAGAAAGATCAAAAGTCTAGTGATGAAGCAATTTGGCTCATGAAGATGACTCTAGCATAATATTGATGATGGCTACTACCAGTGATGAAAAGGTTAAGAATGAAGAGTGGTTTCTTAACTATGGATGCTCAAATCACATGACATCACATAGAGAGTGGTTGACAAGTTTTGATACTAGCAAGAAAACGAGTATCAAATTGGATGGCAGTAGAAATCTTGTGGCTGAAGGTAATGGAAATATAGTGATTATAAGCAATGATGGCCAGAGAGTCATTATTGAAGATGTGATGTATGTTCCTGAGATGAAGTGTAATCTCATGAGCATTGATCAACTGGTGGAAAAGGGATTCTCATTGATTATGAATGGTGACTCTTTGGAGTTGTTTGATGCAAAGAAGAATTTGATGCTCAAATCAAACATGTCAAATAATAGAACATATAGATGAAACATCTCATGTGAAAAGATTGTGTGTTTATCTGCAACAGTGAGTGAAGATGTTGAAGACCTATGGTGTAACACCCCATTTAATTATTTAGTCGTTTTATGATTTGTTTTGTGTGCTTGTTTGACATTGTCTTAATTAAGGGTGTGTGTTTAAGGATGAGCATGAGGAATTAGCCTTAATTGAGAAACGTGAATAAAACCTTAGAATAATATGGTAATGATAATTAATTAATAACGAGTGAGAAATATTAGTAATATTATTGTTATTATTATTAATATTTATTATTATTATGAGGGAATTAATTAAGGGAGATAAAAACAAATTAGGAGAGAATAGTGAGAAGTTACAGAGAAAAGTAGTTAACACGTGAAAAGAGAAGAAAAGAAAGAACTAGGGCAAGAGGTGATTTCACCATTTTTGAAGGATCAAAGCTCAGATTTCAGGTAAGGGGGAGAATGGGATCGATAATGGTGATTTTAGCATGAGAGGGTAGTGAGGGTGCCTTTCCCTCTTAGGATTTTCGTGCATATTTTATTTCTTGTATTTCTTGATTCTATAACTGTGTGAATATTGTAAAATTCGTGTTGTTGTGATGATATTGGTATGAATTTGTGTCTATGGTAGTAATACTGGTATGAATTCGTGGGAATTTGTGGACTGTTATTGTATTTTACCATGTTGCAGATCTGTAAAATTGTAAGATGTAGAAGATGACGAAATTAGAGTTAAGTGGTGAATAATCTTGATATAATAATAGAATAATTAGATAGAGTGGAATTGTGGATGATAAAATGGTGTAGAAGACTGTTTTGGATCTGATTTAGGTGTTGGAATGGATTCCATTGTGTGAGAATTCGTGTAGATGAAAAAATTGGGATTTTGGTATGAAGACTGGCCATACGCGTATGGGGGGGCCATACGCGTATGAGGGACACCCCCAGAGGTCGTACGTGTATGGTAAACGCATTGTCCCAATTCTAGCACGACATTCTGGCCGTACACATAAGGAAGGGGTGGCAATATGCGTATGGTCATGCCATTACCCGTATGGGCAGCTTTGAAGCATTTGGGAGGAGAAATCACCCTCTGGTCATACGCGTAAGGCCCAAGGCAATATGCGTATGGATGGCCTGGATAGATGAGCCCTACGTGTGTGATACGCATGCCTGGGGTGTGAGTGAGTGGCCATACGCGTATGGGGCAGGGTCATACGTGTATGGGCAGAATTGTTGTGAAAATGTCTCGTTTTCGTGATTTTTGTCCCGATTTCACGTGCGATGCAATTTCTCTTCATCCGTAAGACTAAGATGATATAAATGGACATAGGAGAAACTAGTAATAACATGAAATAAAATAAAATATGGATTTTTATGAGAACGTATAGTCGAGACGTGTTGGATGTGTGAGCCAAGATTGTCATGTATAGACGTTCTTGTGCTGTGGTGGTACTTCTTGAGAGAATTACGGTGAACAGGTGGCTTGTGTGTGATTATTGAGGATCGTGAAATTATGATTGAATAATTATTATGTTGTGCATAATCCTGTGTCATACATTCATGTCATGTTATATAGAGACGAGCTAGGTAGGAATCCATGATGGGTGTCTAGTCTTATCCGGACTATATGTGGGAGTCGTGTGGAGATAAGTTATAGTTCAGATGATCGTATATGATTTATCCAGATTCCGACGGGAATTGGGTTCTAGGGTGAACTGTATGTGATTGTGATAGTACCGCATGCATTATGTCGTGTCAGTTGAGTCGCATTGCATATGTATATGATTTAATGTGGGCTATTTACACCGAATAATGATGTGGCACTTTTATGCGCGTGATGATTGTATGATTGGTGTGTTTTATGTGAACTACTCCTTAGCATGTGTTTTTCACCATATATATATATTTATTGAATGTAGTTCTCACCCCTTTTCTGTTTGTTGTGTCTGTGCTTCTTGGGAAGTACAGGTGATCAGGCACCTGAGTAGTGCTTGGAGCAATGTGTTGTTACTTGATCGAATCTTAGGAGTCGCTCTGATACGTAACACGGGTAGGATGGGGATTTTGTGATTTCTTTATGTTATTTGACTTTTCATTTGTTACGTATCTGTTTTTGATCAATTATTGTTGAACCACGTATTATGTGGAGTATTGATGTACCTTGGGGTTTAATATTGAACCATTTGAATTAATTCCTTTGTGGAATAAAAGCATTTTTTTATTAATAAATAACAGAGAAAGTGATTTGATACTTTACGTTGACGTTGTTATTGGAATGTGACATCCTACGTGTATTACCTCTGGTTTGATTTCGCATTATTTTTTGTATTTTTCAATTATTATATGAATGGATAGAGTAGGGTGTTACAATTGGTATCAGAGCAGATTCGTCCGTTCGGCCAGTGTAGTAGTAGAGTCTGACTATAGAGTGTGTATAGTCGTGTGTTTCTTCTAACATGTGTTTCCTTTGGTGTTGAGC